AATTAAAAAAAAAACTCAAGTTTCAAAATGTCACCACTATTCATTCACCCAAGAATAAAACAGTAATACATTTAATACATCATACTCCAAGTCAAAAAAAGAGAAAAAAATACAAAATAAAATTCAGTTTTCTAAATGGCCAGCAGAAGGCACTGCATGGCTCGAGAGTAAATGCACTTAAGAGAGATTCTAGGAGCATGAACCACAGAAGAAGAGAACAGTCTGGCTCATACAGGAAGAAACAAATGCTTGTGAACTAAAATCCATTGGCTCCCACTCAAGTCCCAAACTCTCTTATAAACCATATAACACAGGTCACTCAGGAGGGGATGTGGCCATAGAGTGTAGTTTCTATGGCCATAACACTCTGATCCAACATTAAAATTGTAAAAATATCTAAAATTGTTATTGTTTATTTTTGTATATGTTCTGTTTCAACGCCATTGTCAGTGATTAGCGCTAATTATATGCCCAAACCAATCAAGTTAGCTTGCTTTTGTGCCAGATCCAGTCCAGTACGTATAAACAACAGTATGTGAACCACATGTAAAACAGAACCTACCTACAGTTGTCATGCGAGTCCAGCATCTAGAACTGGCAAAACTGCAACATTAAAAACTGGGAAACGGACCCCATAACAACACTAAAAGGCAAATTTGTCAAGAATAGCTTTTGTGCCCATTGCAATATTGCGACACGGCGAAAATGCTCAACTGAGGAGATTCAAGAAAGCTGAAATCAGCTTCTGCACACACACTATCCACAGGCTACAGAGCAAATAGCTGAGCCCTGCAGAAGTGTTCATCAGAGCAGTCAGCATGTTCGGCTTTACACTTTATGAAATGTGCTGTTCATAGACATTGTGTGCTAACCATTCTTGTGCGGCTTAGAGAAAAGCATGTGTCAGAGACAAACCCACGTTTGTCCAGTGAAAGCATTTCAAAAAATCATTTTGGATGCTAATCAGAAACCTGAAACATTTAATCTCATGTATTTGTGCCACTTTGTCACATTTTTTTGGATCTATTACATGTAACTGACACTTAAAGCATTGAAGTGACTCTATATGTTGTTCTGTAAGACATCACATGCGTAAAGTGCGCCTATTTTTATTTTTTTTTTTATCGTTATGCTCTTTGTTTGCAGGGGTGCTACTGGTTCCAGGGTTCTCTAATTTCTTCTGTTGTTCTAGAAACGTTTATGAAGGCACAGTGTGCATTTGTTTGCAATACCATTTTTGTTGCCAAATTCCTCCAGTATCATGATTTTTATTTTTTTGCCGTTTTGTTCCCGTAATTTTTCCTAATTATAACTCTCTCCACTCCAAACCCCAAGCCCTACCAACCTTAAAAAAAACCCCACCAGAATGTTTCTTTTTCTTTGCCTCTCTTGTTGGAGTGAGTGCATCACCCACTGCTTGTGTTCCTACAAAAGGACGCAGCGCTTCTTGGGTTTGGTCTCCGGAGGTTCAAGGGCAGCGAGTATAGCCTCGTCGAATACATTCTTCAGACCTCTCTGTAAGAAAGAGATCGTAAAATGTCACTTGCAGTAGGTCATGTGAGTGATGATAAGCGAGTAGAGCTGTTATGTCATCACGGGTGTGTGCGGCTGCTCTTTTAACCTGTGTGAGGGCGGAGCACTCCACGTATTTGACAGCTCTGAGGTCTCTGGACAGCTTCTCCCCGCTCTCGGGTGATATGGGGCGCTGCTTGTTTTTGGCAAGTTTTTCCACAGTGTTACTGTCATCCCTCAGGTCAACCTGAGTGCCCACCAGAAGGAATGGAGTGCGTGGACAGTGGTGAGAGATCTCTGGTACCCACTTAGAGAAAGAGATAGGAGAAAAAGGACTGTTTTCAATATAAAATTAAAATTATTTTAAAATATACATAGCATATAAAGAAATATTCTACAGTACAAGTTCAGTAAGTTTTTCTTAATTAACACTTTTATTCCGCAAGGAAGCAAATGATTAAAATTGACAAACATTTATAATGTTACAAAAGATTTATATTTCAAATAAAGGTTTATCTTGTGAACTTTCTATTCATCAGATAACATCAAATAACTGCAGCCTTGGTGAGCATAAGACTTCTTTCAAAAACCAAACTTTCGAATGGTAGTGTGTGTGTGCATACTAGAAATAATAATAACAATAAAAACCTCATAAATGACTCAAAAAATAAGGAATGGCCCCTATGGGGCCACGACATTAAGAACTTGAATTCTCTGCACTGTCTTTATCTTACAAATTAATCTGTGCTGCCTATTTTCACATATATTTTCTGTTTCAGTTCCACACTACAAAAATGGTAAAAAGGCTATTCATCCTCCATGTTAGACAACATTAAACAGTATATTAAGCATTTTATTGCTTAAAAAACAGCTTCTTAAGGAGACTGTGAAGTGATACAGGAAACATGAAACTAGCACCACTGTGCAGGAAATCGGTTCCTTAAATAGACTGTAAAACAGTAGACTGTAAAAAAAAATGTGCACAGAATGCTGCAGTTGATCAATGATAATTGCGTAATAAAGAGAGCCAAGTAAACATCTTAATTTAAAAGTATATATTTACACTATAAATCTGAATAGAAAACCACTGACAAATATGCATCTGAAAGTAAGTTAAATCTGATATGTCTCAGTATTGAATGTGCTTTTCATGTACGCTTTGATCAGTTTAAATACATCTCAGGTCTATTCACATGAGTTGCATTCTCCAAGTCCAGCAGGAAAATCAGGTACTGCTAAAGAGTGCTTTAGTGACACTAAACAACATGTGACGTCAGTGTCATCCAACTAAAGCCTGACTGTATGAAACATACAATGTGTTAAAGCAAGTATCAATACTGTAATGTATCTGTACATAAAACCATACCATAGATATAGCATTGAAATGCTAAATCGTGACAGTTTAGTATCCCATACATAGCAAATGTCAATAATCTTATCAGAAAAAAGTGCTTCTTTCAGGTTCTGATGTCCCAAACAGTGAGAGCAGCAAGAAAGCAGAAAGCATTTGATGAAAACCTACCTTCTCTTTCACATTCTCAAAGGAGGAAGGAGAAACAACAGAGAAGCAAACAAGGAAGACGTCTGTCTGCGGATAGCTGAGAGGCCGAAGTCTGTCGTAGTCTTCCTGACCTGAGAAAACGAGAACAGACGCAGTTCATTACCACCTCTCTTCAACTCCGAGAGTCATTCGAGATGAACACAACAGCTAAAACTGAAGAGAAATCCAATGCATCTTAAAATAAAACAGCTAGATAATTATAAATTAATGCACACAATGTTTAAAAGTTTAGTGTCAATAAAAATTTGAAGTGGTTTTGAAAAGGTGTCTTATGCCAACCAAGGTGAATTTATTTTATCAAAAATACAGTAATAACAGTAATATTGTGAATATTGCTACCATTTAAAATAATGGTGTTATATTTTAAGATATTAATTTAAAACATTATTATTATTATTATTATTAATGTTAAAACGGTTGTGCTTCTTAATATTTTTGTGGACACTATGATACATTTTTTACAGGATTATCTGAATAGAAAGATGAAAAAATAGCATTTATTTAAAATATGCATGTTGCTTACTGAATAAAAGTATTAATTTCTTGAAAGAAAACAAAACTTGCTGACCCCAAACTTTTAAACGGCAGTGTATCAACGAACATGGTGGAATTGTGTGTGGGCAAGATGTGATTTTCACCCTATTACACCTATTTAATTCAACAGATTGTAGTATCAATATGTTTATAGTAAATCAACATGCAATTTAAAAACCTATTAATATTTTTTAACAAGTATCAGTCTGAACAAGCAGGTTGGATATAAAATTGTTTTTATCGTCTTCAGAGCATAATATGCAGAGCAAATATGCATAATATTGTCCAAAGCGGTATCCAAATATGCATTTTCTCTCACTTGTCCTCATATACTGAACTATGTGACATTCACTAGATAGTGAATAGTGAATGAGTGAATGAGTCAGCGGATCTGGACAGAGTATGAATTGATGCATAAAAAATGCCTGTCACTTGTTTTCCCATAAGTTCAGTGCCATTTTTCCAGTTTTTCCATCTTCTAATTTTCCACAGCAACAGCTATTTTCTCAGGTCTCTTTGCATTAGGTTGACACTTAAATCACTATTATGCTAACCAGAATCAAATCAGATTCATGTCAAGTGTAAAGAAAGCCTCAGACTGCATTACCTGCTGTGTCAAAAAGCCCCAGTGTATACGGTTCACCTCCAATCATCACTGTGACAGCATAGTTATCAAAAACCTGTAAAACAAACCCAAAAACAGCTAATTCACACATAATGTACATCACATTTTAGTTCAGACAACACAAAACACACAACACTAACAATGTTTCAGCCTAATCAAATATCCTACAAAATACTCGCATACATTAGAGTTCCTAGTCTTAAACAGCACAAAGCTCACAACAAATAATAGCTAGCATTATTACTCATAATCATTCGATCACTGCGCCCCCTCCCCCTGAATCTGTCCCTGAATCTGTCCCAGAGCCCACCACCCTTTACTCCGTTACCGTGGGAACATATTCAGAGGGGAATTTGTTGGTTGTGTATGAGATGAGGAGGCAGGTCTTTCCAACAGCTCCATCTCCAACCACCACACACTTTATGGTCTGCATCTATATAGAGAGATTGAAAATCACGTTATTACTGATGTTCTCCTGGAATTCAGAAATACCTTTGAGTGAATCATTTGTTTTGAGCAGTTCCAGCATTCATTGTTCCCACTGTTACACAATTAGGCAGTTTGAACGCATTTAACAGAATTGCCAATAATGTGATGTGACTTCAGAGACAAAAGCAGGCATACAGAAAGACATCTACAAGAATGTGTCCCGTCTTATTTGCTTCCGCATATTAACGCAGCTGAGAGGAAGGCTCGACTTTGTCGTTTTGTCGTAAAAATATCGTCTGGTTTTCGGCTACATTACCGTTTCTGAATTATTTTACTTTGACATTAGACATTAAAGTGTTCGTCCTTAAGTAATTACTACATTTGGAGTCCAATTTGGGAAGATAAAAAAAACGAATACCACGTAGCTTTAAAGTAAAACACTAATTAACCCGTGTCGTTTATTCAAAGCCGATTTTTTACATTAGAATAATTTAATCATGCTCTCTTCCACCACCAATAGTTAAAAATTTCGCCTGATAAATCTACTTAATTAAATACTACAGTAAATGGCGAAGAAATGTGGAGTTTGTGGTGATAACAGAAAACGAAATAAATCTTTGGAAGATCTGTCAACAGTGAAGTAAATCAAAGTTTTGTTTAATGAGAGCGACAGGATGCTGCGAGGCTAAGCTAACGCGCTAGCACTGCTGAGAGGGCCGCAGATCATCCTAAATCAAAATTACTCAACGGTAAAACTTGACCTAAAACGTGTACTGTTTAACAACCGTTTGATAAGTTAAAAGCCAAATAAAATAATGTAACAGATTAAGAATTGCTTACCGTTCCTCTCCGGCGACTAGGCGTTGGTTACGTCCGGGTTTGAGAGTATATCAATCTGACGTGAATGAAAGCGAAAAACGTCTCGTCGTAGTTCCTGCAATATCCAGCCAGCCCACCCTGCGCACACGCCCAACACAGGTTGTAGTTCCTATTAAGAGGCCGCTAGGCCTAGGACTACAGCTTTACTTTATGGTTAAAGCGTAAAGACGATAGAGGGATTTTAATATAGTATTCTATAAATCCAAATGGAATATGTTTTAAAGACACACAAACTAGAATGGAAAGAATGTGGTCCAATAGTCTGAGAAATGCTTGCATTTCTTATTTTATTTTACATACTACATTAATACACACAATTTATAATAAAAAAGAAACCATAATATTTGAAATTAACACACTAGAAGGCTGCTAAACCCACAGTTTTTAATATGCACTCTTAAAAATCAAGGTTCTTTATTGGCATCAATGGTTCCACAAAGAACCTTTACCATCCATGGAATCTTTTCATTCCACAAAAGGTTCTTTACAGTGGAAAAGAGTTCTTTAGATTTTTAAAATGTTCTTCACACTTGCCATAGAATAACCAGTTTTGGTTTCACTGCCTGTTAAAAAAAGACAAAAGAAAAAGTCCAAATAATATTAATAAAAATAAAAAATAAAGTTAAATTAACAAGCACTGAAGACATTAACTACATTATACAGCTCGTTATTTCCTCACATTTCCAAAACATTATACAACATACATGAGTTTATGACTAAGCATCACATTAATAATGCTCGCAAAAATCAATAACATAACCCTCAAATGACCAAGTGGTGACCAAAATATAAAGGGATCGGAGCCAAAAACAGTAATTTTGAGAGCCGCGCTTAAACTTTTATCTTCCTTCACCGGAATGTGCGCAGCGCTCGTCCCCTCCTCTTCCTGCCCCCTCCCATCTCTCTTTTCTGTTGACGTTTGGCTTTTGTGCCTGTTTTACTAAGTGCGCGTAATCTTCCTTTCAAAAGCATCTCTTCTTCACTGGACTCTATTTTTTAGTGACAGCGCGTGACATGGCAGCGACTCCGATGTAGTGCGTTGCGAAAAAATCGCATGAATCTCTCAGAAGCGCAAGATATTCGCCCAAGATCTTCAAGGTTCTGTTTCCTTTGTCATACTGTCTTCCTGTGCTCATCTGCGGCGGTTATTTCCGTCGGTCCGTCTGCTCTGCGTGCTGCTGTTTTTCTCGCCAGCTGGATAAAATTCACCTTGACTTGTATGTCCGAAGCCCGCCGTGGTTGTAAACAAATCATTTCCGCACGCATGTTATTACGGTAGGCTAACAATCTGAAATAGCTCGCAGGCTGTTATGGATTAGCACCTGTCTGGAATATTCGACGGTATTCGCGTAGGTATAAATGTTCTGCAGAGCTGCTTTTGTATATCAGGGTGTTTTATCCATCTCGCTCGGTAAATTGATGGTTTGTATTGTGATTAGGTAATAGAGCGCGCAGGCCGGATTGTATAATTCTCCAGTTGAGACAGTTTTGCATATCTGGCAAAGGGAACTTGATTGGTTGACCAATTACGAGCTCCTGAGCTGCTGTTGTCTTGGATTTTGATTAAAGAGACGGAAGTTTATTTACTGGTGCAAGTTCAACCAACCAAGAAAGAACCAAAACAATGTTTCGCTATTTGAATGATGTGGATGACAGCCCATACATGATGTGAGTATTAGTACTATCAGAATGACAACATGTATTTGAGTGTTTGAGGTGAACATCATAATCCATTAGTGCCTTAAAATACATTTTAAGTACATTTTATGACTGTAAAAGGATGTGCATGTTATGTTGTGACAGGGATCCGTTCGCAGCACACAGACACCAGATGAGGGGTCTCTTTGGGTCTTTTGGGATGGACCCGTTTCCTTTCACCCCTCAGATCCAGCATCCACGTACACGCTTGCAGGTACACAATAAAGCTGTAAAAAGGGCTCGATTTGCAGATTTTTAACCCTTGTGCTGTGCAAAAATTGTTCAGCTAAGTTGTTCCTGATCAAAAATGACCTGCCTTTAAAAACTGCTTGTAAATCTCTCATTATTCTGTATTACCACCAAATCCTCTTTTTTTTTTTTTTTTTTTTATTGGCTTCTTTTCTTTCAGTTAGCACAGATTTAGTTTTTTTGTTTTTTAGAACTGATTGGTCATAGGCCTCTTGAGCTTATGTTTGAGTGAAAGAAAAAAAAACATTATTTGTGGATAATTTTGGCAGGTTTCGTTCAAAAACTGAAGTGCATAAACTCAGTGAGACTTATGATCAGTCAGGTCTGCAAAGAAATACAAAACCTGTGGTAATAGACAAAAAAACATTTGATAAAAAGATTGAATCCAATATTTAGTAGTAATGTTGAATAACAAGAAATTCATAAATAAGTATTTGTAGGCGGCCATTTTTGACTGGGAACATCACAAGTGTAACAAGGTGGGAAAAACTTATCAATGAGTACATTTACATGGACAACAATACTCAGATTTTAATACGATTAAGACAATTATCTTAATTATTACCGTCGTGTAGGACTTTTTCGCCGCATTTTGCGACAGGATACACACACGGCAGTGGTCAATAAAAGAGCTTCAACACTGCCATCGTCTGTATGCATGTACAAATAATTAACTGCACTTGAAGCTTTCATAAAATTAAAAATGAAACACCCAAAACTGTACATGGCATCATCACGAAGTCAAACTATATGTTTATACGTGAAATTCCGGAGGGGACATCGGATGGCGTCACGTGGGACGTAATGACGTGCGCCATTATCATTTAACACCATAATCATAATATTGCCTTATTTAGAATAAGGTAAATAATTTGATTACTGATGTCCATGTAAACGTAGTCAGTGATCATTTTGAGCCAAATCAGTCAGTTTTAGTCCAGTTTCATAACATTAATTAGCATTTTTGGGAAAAAGAAAATTCTGTCTTGGTCAAAATGACCGGAACACAACATGAGGGTTAAATAATTCTGTTAATATGTTTACTGTCATTTTTATGCTAAATTCAGCATCTCTGCAGTTTGTCTCAGTTGTTCTTGTCAGTGTTTAGGAGTGATTTTAGGCTTGTATTGAAGATTAAAGTGTCCATATTTTACCCTTTGCAGCCACAAGCTGGAGCCTTGGCCCCCTTCGGCATGATGGGAATGGTATGACATCTTGACTCTTTACAAAGGAGCTCACTTATTTGATTAGTAGCAGAAATAGTGCAGCATCGTATATTTATGTCAGTGCATTTTGAGATTTCTGTGTTTTTTCCTCAGGGTGGAGGTTTCATGGACATGTTCAGCATGATGAGTGGGATGATGGAGAACATGGTGAGTTTCAGAGTGGCCTAACAGCCTTATTGAAACACTCCGGTTTAAGAACATTCCATTTGTTAATGGTAAGGGTGCATTATCGTTTACAGCCTTTAAACTGGAATAAGTGCAGACTGTGAGTTTCAAGTTGCTAACTTTTAGATTTCACATTAAATAAATCAGTCTATATTAATTCTCTATATTTTGAGAGAAAACAATTGCACAAATTATTGAGGTTGACTGATCACAATCTCATTCAATTCAAGTTTATTTGTATAGTGCTTTTCACGATACATATCGTTGTAAAGCAGCTTTACAGAAAATTACGTTTCTACAATATATTTAGCAGTAGCTTGTCAGTGGTGACTGTCAAATTGATGTACATATGGCAGAAATGTACAGTAAAATTCAGTTAATGATGTAATCAAACAGATGAGTAACAGCAATGATTATATGTTGCAATCAAACTTGTAGCAAAATTTGGTTAATGAGACTCTCATAACTTTTCAGTTTTTTTTACTCTGTAGGAACAAATGTCAGGTTCTCCAAACTGCCAGACCTTCTCCTCCTCCACAGTCATCTCGTACTCCTCCACAGACATAGGAGCACCTAAAGTCTATCAGCAGACCAGTGAATTTCGCACTGCTCCCGGGGGTGTAAGAGACGCATGGACACACAGCATTAGACATGAAGAGGAATGTGACAGTGACTGACTTTTGAGCCCCAGTCTTGAATATCTGGCACACAAATGGATATATACCCATACCCATAACATTCTGCATCATCAGGGATGCACCGAATGTTCGGCAACTGAAATTATTCGGCCGAAAATAGAAAAAAAAAGCTCTTCCGGTGTTCGGCCGAATAAGCGAAAAGACAGAAATAATTGTACCGAACAATGACGTGACGTGATCAAATAGAGGCGCACACTAATGCAGCAAACATGCTGGCAATGTGGAAGCATTTAAAACTGTCAGAGAAAGATGCAAAAATCATTACAAGCACCGACAGCCAGAGAATGTTTAGTACTGCATCGCATGTCTCTGATGAGAAGAGGAAGGGGTGGTTGTTGCTGGTTACTGTATCCGTATGATAATTGAAATTGCGAAATGGCCTCAAACAATTAGTAAATAAACTGCAGAATGTTATGTTTTCTAATACACGCACGAATTGCATGTATTCTGACAGCGATGATGAGCTCACGGCGCCAGGGTTCAATGTCCAAAGAGCGAGGAAAATCTCCGCTGAAACGGTGTTACTCGTCAGTTGCTCATGAACATTTTTACAAGGCATGTGACTATGATGTGATGCGTGCGACAAACATCCCAAATTCGTAATTAGAATCATTCATAAATGTGCTGTTGTCAAGAAAAAGAAGCACTGAGGTCTTCCTGCCAGATTCTGCTAAAATAAAAGCTGAGAAAAAGCAAGAACTCCAACATTCATACATGTTAGTATTGCCATTTTACTGTTGTTCTGGAAAATAAAATAAAAAAGACAATAATAATAATAATTACAACAGCTCTATTAATACATTTATTATAACATTCACACAGAGTGTTCAAATTGGGATCTGTAATATTTTCTAATGTTTTAAAAGAATTCTCTTCTGCTCAGCAAGGCTGCGTTTATTTGTACATTAAAAAAATACTTGCCTGATTCAAGAAGGGGGGGGGGGGTCTAAAAAATTACCCAAAAATATTATTTTACTTATTAATTTTAAGTCAAATTGTGCTAGAATGATAAAAACAAATGTTCAGTGTTAAGTAAATAATT